ATAAGAAGAGCATAGCGTAAGCATTAATCAAGCGTATTTATAACCAGACAGTAAAAATAAAAACTCTTTGTATCACTGATAAAATAAACGGCTTTTATCTTTAACCCATAATTGGTTCTTATCAGTACCTGCCTACTTGGAATAAATGACACAGTTACCTTAATTACTAGAGAATACGGCTAACTGATTTTAAACATATACCTAAGTATTAACGATTCAATGTGGACATAATAATATAATATATATAATATATATATATATAATTAATAATATAATATATTAAATTTCAACACACTCTCGAATTTTTGATAACAGTCACCAGTTACAGATATAGTAACGCGGCATCAAAATCACTATTAGCCGTCTGTAGTAAGGTAACTGTGTCGTTTATTTCGAATAGACAGACAGTAACAATAAGGCTACAATACGATTGAGCGAGATTTACGGAATCATGTATATTTTAATAACCATCGAAATACATACACGATTGCGCAAGATTTTAAATGCCATAACGTATTAGTTATACGTGTTAACGGCGTATTAATTATACTACTCCAATGTACCACATAACAACAGTCAATGAATTAAATGACTATTTTTACACATTTTAAAATGACCATGATTATGAACATTGATAATAATGTCTTGTGGCTAAATTGTGGTTTTCGCACAGAACGCGGTTTGTGACATACTATGTTATAGTAATATATGTATTTATACACGGTAGCGTTGCATTTAAAATCTTGCACAATCGTTTATATATGTGAGAAATTTGCGCATTCGTGTATGTATTTTTATGGCTATTAAAGTATACAAAATTGCGCTAATTTCGATCAATCGTTCGTCAAGGAATAATAAGAACCGATTATTTTTATTAGCGAAATAAACCGTTTTTCTTTTTTCCCTAATGTCTGGTTATAAAGGTCATAAGGTAACTTACGTAGATATACAATAAATAAAATACACGGACACGGATCGTTATTATTGTTTACATAAATATTATGATAATGCGCCCATACGAGTGTCGCGCGAACTCGATAATAACGGTTCGGCCGTTAATATTTTAATGATAATCAAACGAACGCGACCAGCGCAATGATAATAATAAAAATTATGTATCGCAATAATAATAATACGTAACAATAACAATAATATTAAATATTATCATTATATGATGACGATCATTATTATTATCATAACGCGAGCATGTTCGTTCAGCCGGGTCTGACAAACGGTCCCGGCGGCGGCGGCGGCATACACGTCTCCCGAAGAAATGTCTAACGGATTATTATTGTGTGTTCGCGTCCGACGCGCAAATAATTCCCGAGCCTACGCGAGTAGCGCATAAATTCATTTACATTAATCTCTCCGGCGGTGCGTGGAACGGCTGAATCATATTCGCCTACCTGCGGGCACTGCGCTACCCGCGCGGCGTCCCGGCCGCGGCGGCGGTGGGCCGGTGAAAATATTTCGAATGCCCCCGAACGAGATTATATTACGGTATACCTACTGCCGCCGCCGGTCCTTTGAGCTTACGATATTATACCCATCCTACCGACCAGCCTACCAGCCTATTGTTTCCTCGTTATTTTCTATACGCCGGGGTAACACCCGAGGGAGAAGACAGGACTGTCCGTCGCGACGGTGGCGTCGCCCGACGGACGGACTACGGGGCCGTCGAATAACTACATTCGTCACCGCCGAGGTATTGCACGGGGGAAAGGAACGGAGACTCCGAGCACAGTCGACGCGGTTTCGCGTGTTCGGGAGTGAAAAGAGAAAATGAATCAAGACGGTCGTCGATTAATATAGGAGTCTGTCCGTATATTAAAAAGTCAATACCGACTGTTTAGACTAAACGTCGACCGTTTATATTATATTCAGAGGAAAATTCAGCGGCGTGGCCACGTGGCGTAGTTATTCTCGGGGAGCCGCCCCGGAATTTCGGCTGGTGAACGATTAGGTGGCTCGACGGCTGCTGAATGACCGCGCTTGATAACACCCGCGCAATTTAACGGATTGGATACTCGAGTACCGTGTGTGTAGTTATGTACTATTAGTGGTGTGAAAAATCCGAAATCCGAAATTCAAAAACATTATAGTGTAAAATATGAATTGTCAATAGGTAATTATCGTTTGTAATAATACTAATTATAATAGGCAATATTTTTATTTACGATAACGTTAAACCGTGAAATCTTTAAACATGTGTCCGTTTATCTCTACGTTTTCCCTATGTTTTTTTCTCGGGTTTTCCCAACAATTATGGAAACCTGCATAAAAAATCACAAAATGATTTCCTTAAAGTACCAACTAGACAGTTCCAGATTTTCGAATAATCCGGATTTATATCACTAGGTGTACTATACAATATATCGTTTGCGAATAATGTTTCGTATAGATTGTACTATTGTGACGCGACTATTGGCACGATAAATTAAAATAATATTGTACAAAGAAATGTACCTGCATATTATGTTCTCGTTTTTCGAATTTTCCGTCGGTTTATGTTTAGTGTTAGTATAGCGAGAACAAACGCTGAGCGATAATACAAAGTATTGTCATTTTACTTGGTTGTTGGTTATGGAAATCCTGATACACACAATATATCGAACACAATAACGCGGATAAAATTGTTTTTGCCAAGAAAACGATTTACTTTACGCTGGAGGTGTTAGAGATTTTAAGGGGCGGGTGCTTCACAAATTTGTTCGCATCTGCTAATTGGTAAACTTGTGACCGCGCCACTGTCTATAATAAGTTAGGTTCGGACGGTAAGTTTGTTATGATATCTGGAGTACCTATATAATATTACGTATGTGTACGGAGAAAAACGCCAAAATGTTATAATCTCTTCTCCCATCGGATTTAGTTTGCTTTTTTTTTTTTTGTGCTGTGAAATTCGTTTTTGCCTTTTTTCGTTCCCACCCCCTTCACCATCCTTTATGTTTTACCGGGACAGACGGTGGTGCGATATTCTCGCTTGTACATGTCCACTTTATAAAATCCATCATAACGATAGTCTACATCATATTATATATATAATATATTACATTGATAAAAGTCTATAGGTACTATTCTTCTTCCGGGCCACTGATAAAAATGACGAAGACATTTCGCGCACTTGTTGACATTGTACGCTCGTCGAATATAATAATATTCCTCTAAGCGGTCAATATAAGAAGCAACGACAACGACGTATGTGTTTTTGACAAGCCGACAAGTCGAGGTTTTTTCCTCCTCTCTTTATCGCGATAAAACTACTATATACATATATATTTATATATACGATTACGGTTCTCGATTAATAACACTCGATTTACCGTCGGCGATAATAGGCGGTAATAAATCACGAAGCGTGTCGTCCTTTTTCTTTTCTTTTTTTTTTTAATTTCGTATATAATATAAAATTATGAAACGGCACTGCGTTGATGTTATTATTATCATTATTATCGTATCGGACGAGTATATAATACATCCGGTAAGTGTACACGCTTCACTTCGGAATTACGTGCGGTTCGATTTTCCTATGCATTATAATGTACAAAGCCGCATGTGATTGATATTCTTGTTTGTGTCACCGTGATATTCTATTCTCACGGAAATATTGTACCTATATAATATTATAATACTATACGATTCTTTTATCGTTGAACATTAATTATTTTAAAAAGTGTTTAATTGAATTCGATTTTTTTTTTTTTTATGACGACTATCAACTCTTACCTGCTGCAGCCGCTTTTGATTTTCAAACGTCAATCTATATTAGAGCGGTCGTCATAACCACATACTTTCAAAAAAAGGTCATCGTTCAACACCGCGCATTTTTATGTATATATTTCCCAAAATGACACCTGTTCAATACCGCACACATTTTACTTTGTGTCTTATCAAACGTTATTTTGCCCAACAAATCGAGAGTTATTTTCGATTGAAATTGTCTGAGTAAGTGCAGCGAGCTAGTGACTACACTTGGGTCTCTAATTCCACCTATAACACTTTTCACTGCCAATCAAATGTATGCGGTTTTGAATTATCGACCTTCTAATTTTTAATTTTTAATTCAATTTTCCATGTGTGCGGTTCTCAACGATGCCCCTATATTAAACGTGTTTTAAAAAAAGTCGATAATGTTTTAAATAACGAGAATTCAACAAAAAAAGGATCACCTTGTATTATAATATATATCTATGTATTCCCCGCCACTACGACTCCGAAAAACGCTTTTATATAAATCTATGAAAACCATTTAAAAATAAAAATCCAGTAGATGTTGTTTTTTCCCGTTTGTAGGTGCATATTTTTTTTCGACACAAACGTTACTTTAAAATTATAGTAAGAATACAGGACTTATAGCATTTATTTGTCTGTTCGGCTTGTGATATTAAATCAACGGGAATAGGTGTTACGAGTTCTAATATTAAATTTGAAATATTTTTTTTTTTACAAATTTTCTACTTTTTGATAATTTATGACCAATCAGTAACAATATCGATATTTTTATCCCATTCTATAATATTCGAATAACTCCACTATTGTATTCTAATATTCAATGCATGTTTGTTTTTGTTGTATCATCTATACTTGTCACTTAGTGCTCTCGTGGCTAGTCATGAAAAGATACAAATCCACGAGTTTAAGTTCTAAAAATATTCAAGCGTTCTAATATGAAATTGAAAATTCATTTTTTGTCAATTTAGGTAAGTTAAAAAAACAGCTTTTTTTTACTTGTTTTTCTTTTGTAATTAATTGCTTATTTTAACATTTAATGGGCTTAATAAAATATATAAGAGCTTATTATAAAGTTTTTTTAAAGTATTTTTATTGATGTTAATTGCTGTAAGTCCCGGAATTATCGTAATAACTAATAATTATTCACGATAAAGTGAATTGTTAATTAACTAATTATTATTCATAATTTTATTCATTCTCTTCGATTACGAAAAATATTTTCAACCTAGGTTTTTCCTAGGTTATAATATTTATTATTGTTATTTTCCTGTTATCTCCCCTGATAACAGAACTAGTCACTTTTTTTTATTTCCTACTTTCCTAATTTTTAAACATTGCAGCCAATCAATTTTTCAGATGTTTTGTACATATATACATGGTCAATTTATCAATCGTTGCCTGAATTTAAATCGATGGTAGCAATATAATATTACTATTATGTGCGTGATATTATTAATTACGCCGTTTTGTGTATCTTTTTACTGCTTTTGGTATTTAATCGAAATTATTCTATACATGTAATCTATTAATTATATGAACACAATGGTAATAGTATTATAATATATATCCAGTGTACCATGTGAATTGATAATAATATTAAATTCACTATAGGTTAACATTATTAATACGCAGTTTTAACATGGTCGTTCTCGTCGTGGGACACCCTATATACATTAAATTGCAATATAATAGGTACTACTATATAGCTAGTGTACACATAGAATGAATACAATTACCATTTCGATTTAAAATAATTAATGAAGACTAACCAATTCCAGTCGGAGTCGACTGATACGAAATAAATCGATATATTTTCAATTAAATTACAATAAATTAATCAGACCTGCAGCCGTATTATATTTTATAATATAGGTACTCGGAATAATTTAACTTTAAAAGTAAATATTATTTATTTTATATTTTTTTGTCTCCTTCCAATCGAAGAACATAATACAATAATACTTTACAATGTTACAATTTAAATACAATTATATAAATATTTGTATTTTTTTTATCTCAATATCCCAGTTATGAGATTCTCCCAAAAGTTGGTGTATGTTCGGGGACGAAAGGATTATTTATTGAACCAAGTCTCTTTTTCGAAAAAATTAGACAAAGGGCTCAAACAAGATTGCCTAAATTATATGTTGGAAACTTTCAGATTATCGCCACGTGGAAACATAATAGTATTTTAGTCAACGGGTTGTTGCTTTTTTATTTATGGTGTTCATGATAGGTTATACATTTTAAAATGTAGAAGTATAGAGGTGCTATTTGACCTCCGAAAATAGATTTAATACATAATGCATTTGCGTGTACTCGTATTTTCATTCAGCTCACAATAAACCACTTGAGCAAGACTCAGTCTTCAGCTACATTTATATTTATGGTGTCCGTAAAAATGTCCCGGCCAAAAAATAATCATAATTTTATTTACATATTTTTGTAACGGAAAATAATTTCATTATTATAAAATGACGTATGATTTTTAAACTGTTTGTAATCTTTCAGATGTTTCTAGACTAAATAACTATATACAATATTAATGTTAAGTATAAGTAAATAAATAATAGGTATTGACAATTGAATTAAAAGAAAAAGTAAATTCAAATTTGAGGTTATGCGAGTAGTTTTGTAAATTTTAAGATTATATACGAGTTATGGGCATAATTAATAATATCTTTAATTTAGTTTAGATATATCTAGAAAGTTATCATGGCAGTTAAAAATAAGCGTACTGTTTTATAAAACATACATAATTATAGTAATATATATATGTACTATAGAGATAATTTTTAATGGTAGTTACCTGAAATCTAAAACTAGCGACCGCCGACAGTCTGGGTCGATATTATTTTATTTGTGTGATGGCTTTTAGCGTAGACTATGGAATGGCTTAACGGTTAATTTAATGATTAACGAGAGTTTGTATTATACGCATATGTATAGGAATTTATTAGAACTGTCTTTATTTTAAATCCGAACATGCACGTACGATGTATACAACAATAACACGGTATATGTATACACTATGTAGATTTCTTTGACGAAAAAATCTTCGGAAAAACATTCTCTCAATTTAGTGATACGTAAGGGACAAAAAACTTAAAGTAAACATATCTAATGCAACCCGATTCTATAACGCAGTGATATATTGTTATGATAATAATGTACCTACCCATTATTTTTTATGTAAAATATATAGTTTGGACGAAGCAAAAAAATACATAAAGCTTTCATATTTTCCATCCGTTAACTTGCACACCGTGCAATAGTATATAATATTAAATAAATAATAATAGTATGGTAAAGTCGCCACCTATGTGGCTATCTTAAGAACTTTTAAATATTAATATTTGATTTATTCTGTCTATGGTTGTAAAAAAAATTCAAAATTCAACCATTAATACATTTTAAGTATGTCCACACACCAGTTTAAATTTCAAAGTCTTAAGAACATTGTGGAGTGAAAAATTAGTATTGATATTTTAAATCGCATTTTCCCGTTCTGTGGCCATCACATGCTTATGAATATTTTTGTAATAATTGACACTACGCAGTTAATTAATTAGTGTAAATAAATACAAAAATAACCATACTATGGGATATCAAATTAAAAAAGTATACTTTTAACGAATAAAATACAAATGAGTGGCCATAGTAGGAATACCGGCCACAGGCGGTAACTCAACCATACTTACTCATTTGTTTAACTAAATAACTGCAGGGACCCTATTTTTCTTATATTTTTGTATTTTTCATGCCTATATATAACAATTTGTTATAACTACCCGATTCGAGGTACTTACTTTGGATTATTTACATATTTTACTATTATATATTTTGTAAATACAAATACATAATATAGTGTCAAAAAACGTAGTTTTTCTTCAACTTTTAGATTTTATGTCTCACGCCCGGACGCTTGATATTATAACCGTATATACTTTATATAATAAAATACAAGTATACGGTTGAGTTAACGGGATAGTTCGAGTTAGATTTTAGTTAATATATTATTATTATTTTCGTAAGTATACATAGACAAATGTATAAAGTTAGTATAATATATTATCCAAAAATATAAATTCAAACGCTGCACGCTGCTGCAATTATGTTGTTATACAAATAGTATAATATTGTGTAATAATAGTTTGCGGATGTGTGTAGATATTTCAAAGATAATCACAACTAACCATTATAATACGTGAATAATATTATATTTTGTATTATACGTTCTAAGTTTCGACGAACGTCGTTGTTCAAAATTAAATTGAATTAAAATTGCATGGACTATTTTCGCAGTGTTATCAAATTGAATTGGATATACTTTTTCATCTATATATATAATCTTAAACTCGTTTAAAATTATTATTTTAGTTCTTAGGGGGACTGTGAGAGTGAGTGTGCTGTTGGTTCAATATATTTTCGTTTTATTGAGTATGACTGTACGAACACCCGGCAGAGCATTGCGGAATATTGTTTACTTTCGAAAGTTTTACTCGATTTATATATTACACATACTTAGGTTGAAAATATTACGATGACACAAATATGACATTATACGTATAGAGAACCCGCTCGTTTTTCAAGTACTTTCCCGAGTAATCGTGCAAAACTACATAACATAGGTATACTATATAAATATTTAATTCATCAGTATCTCCGTTTTCAACCAAATCGGTTTTTTTGTTTTTTATTTAGATTGAAAGTATCATTGGAACGACATATATATTAGGTACAAAATATTGAATCATATTACAATTGTTAACAAACAAAATTAATAATATTAATTTGTATTATTTGTAAGTTAATATTTCGGTTTTAATACGATGCGTCCATTTTTCCGACTGTATATAATTACTGTTTTACCAAAAATCTCGCACCAAATTTCGATTAAAACATCATTTGTGGATGATTTTTGGAATTTGTTTAGTCGGTGCAATGATGAATTCATTTTTTGTTCGATCTTGTAGTTTTATTAATAATTGGGACGTAAGAATAAAAACGTAAGAAAAACGAGATAGTTTATGGCTATAACGTTTTAGTTTTTTATTGTAATTCGGTTAAAATCAACCGTAGAGATTTATATTAACATTTTAAAGACGTGGTCGAATGTTCAAATCATTCCAACAATTTTTTCACTATTTATAGGCATTTGACCTTTTCACGTTTCTTTAGTTTATATTTGAATTTCTGTCAATAAAATTGTTTTAGCTCAGCAGAAATGTTTGAAAATTGTACATGGGATTAAGTTGTACTCATGATGGTAATAACAAATTTTAAAAGTTTAGTATAATTTAGTAGTTTTTCTTAATAAACGTTTCAAGTTCGATTTTTTTTTTTTTTAAATATATAGATAAAATAAAGGATATATTATTATATTCTAAGTCACGAAATACCTCTAACGAATATAGACTAAAATTGCGTGTGCTGTAACTTTTCTAAATGTGTGTGTTCGGTTTTAAACTATGATGTATATTTAGGATATACGTGACTCGAGAAATCTACACAAAGATTAGTAATTGGGTTAAAAAGTTAGCAATGTAACTGCGTTATTATCAATGTTCGTTTGTAATAAATTTACTTGAACATATATAGAGAACTTTGTTTTATTGAGTTACGTACAGTGGTATAGTGTCGGACGTATGCCATAATAAATAATAATATATCAACTTTAGGAGGATATATAACTGAATATAACTACAGCTAAAAAACGATGTACCTATTAGAAGAAGAGTACGGATTTTGAAAGCATTTGCTTGCTATTTGAAGCTATGTCAGCTATAAATTCAATGTATGTTACTTAGAAGTAAATGCGTGAATTTTATTTTGCTCTTTTGGGTTTTCAGGTACATATTTTGCTTTTAAGTAACATTTTGTAACATTTTTCCAATATGTTTTCGAAATAAACTCATTTGAAAAGTTGATATTTATTTTTTTATTGTATAATGTGTTCCAAAAATATGGCTCAATCAATTTTATCTAGTTATGTTTGATGTAACTTATCGATTTATATTAATTATAAACATATATTGTCCGACAGTCGAAAAGGATTATTGTTTAAAAACTTTTAAAAAAAATGTTAATTGTTCAAAGTTACTCAAATGAAATAGGTAGGTACTTAAATCATTTTGTAACTATTATTTAATTTATTTTTATAAGTTATCTTAAACAGAATAAATTTAATTTACAGATTAACTGTGGAAAAACAGCAAGAAAAAAACAAAAGACTTACATAAATTACATACAGACATTTTACAATAATTTAGTGAACTAATGTTTTAATTTTAATGCCTTTTTAGTTTTTTATTGCTTCAAAATCCGTACTCTGATTATAAGTAAATGTATAATATTTTTAAAATAGACCAAAAAATACTACTTGCAATGCCGTTTTTTTACTTATAAAAAAAACTAATTCATTTAACACAAATTTGCTTTTTAAACCACTAAGTACAACTTTTAGTGTACCTTGTATTAAATTGTCAAGCATTTCTCATAAGTCATATAATTTGAATAACAGATATCTACCAAATAAAAATACATATGAAAACACAAAAACATCAAATAAATATCTAAAAATACTCAAAATCTTTTGAAAATTTTACATCTTTAAAAGGCCGAATAACAAAAAAATAACCCAATGTAGTTTTTTCTACGTTTTTCCCGAATTTTCGTAATTATTAGAAAAACTATT